GCTCTCTCCTCTCTATCGCTATCTATCTCTCTATCTATCGCTATCTATCTCTCTCTATTTCATTGCACATCTCTGCATTTCAGCTTGGCATCAGGGATTCGTCCACGTGGTTCAGGAGTGATGTTGTACAGGATACAGCTCCCGTTCCCCCATACAGCATGCTAGGTACGCGATGCACTTCACATTTCAATCGCGAGCATTGCGAGTTATCGCTTTACACTCGAGACTCATGAAGTTGACTCTCTATGCTCGATATTGCGTGGATAATTTATCACGCACACACATATTAAAAGTATATTACAAGTATATAAAAAGTATATTGTAAGCCCGAGATTTGCGAGAATAAAGCGATCGTTTTGCTTGATCGGTGATCTTTCTCGCTCCTCCACAGGTTTTGCGGTGACTTCAGGGAAGCTGTTTGGGAAGAGCGAGCGCATGGCTTACGTCGGCGGAGCGCCCAAATCTCACGAGATGGGCGAGGTCGTCATCTTTGAGAAGGTCAACCAGGGGGCGCACCTGCAGGAGTTCGTAAAGTTCACGGGCGACGAGAAGATGGCGTTCTTCGGACATTCCATCACGACGATAGACTTGAACGCAGACGGGTGAGCCGCGTTTGGTTTGTAACCACGGTTACGGAGCCTCGATTTCGTTTGAAAGCAGCTGAGAAATCTATTGCCATGGTGATATCAAGAGGAGAGACTTAAACGGAAGTAGATTAAAAATCACATTAGTTTTAAGAGTTTAGTTTTTCAAACTGGATGTTAATCAGTCAGTCTATAAGTAATTGTTGCTGTTCCTTCATACTTACATGGACATGAGCTCGAACGAATGGTAGTTAATTAATATTATCTTGTAACCATATGCCAATTATACATCCTGGCTGTAAACCCACCTATATGCAACATCCATGTAGTAACATGAACTATTTCTATGCTATTGCAGTTACGTGGATTTGGTCGTTGGGTCGCCGTATTACAGAGGCGAAGAAAATGATCAGGGTGGCGCCATCTACATTTACATGAACGGACCAGAGGTATGCCTGTCTGAGTGAACAGTCTTACAATAATTTCACGTATGGTTTTATGCCTGTTAGCTTAGTATATAACTATGTATAATAATAGCAGGTTAGACATACAGACTTTATGCTACTGCTCTATAAATGCATATTAAATTTAGATCGTCAACATTAATTACAAGTTGTTTTGTAAACATTTCTCATTTACAGGGTTTAGTAGAAGGCACAGAACCATTAAAAATCACGCGGCCTATCGAAGGAGCCAGCTTTGGTTATGTTGTGAAGAACATAGGCGATATTGATCATGATACATATGATGGTGAGCTGAGAATTGTTTAAATAAATGTCATATATGTATATAGATGTTTATATATATATATATATATATATATATATATAATCAAGATATATTATAATGAAGATGTTATCACATATATATTACAGAAACATATATATTATTATATATATAGTACACTGGTGCCGCAAGGCCACAGGTCTTAAGAAGTAGAAGCACAGTCAAGGATAAAATCCTCAGTGCTAATAAAAAGCAAGAGCCGTAGGCGCGCTGCATGCTAGGGGGGTCTGGGGGCATGCCCCAACCCCTAAAAAAATTTGAATTGTAGACGTCTGGAGATGCAATCTGGTGAGTCTTGCGAGAGAGATTTGGGAACAAAATGTAGGACCAAAATTGTTTAACCCAAAATTTACTGGAAGCACTGTGCTTCCAGTGCTTCTATCTGCGGGCGCCACTTATTTATATATATACACTTTATTTATATATATCATGTGTCTGTGGCAGATCTTGCAGTGGGAGCTCCACATGAAGGCAACGGTGCAGTGTTCATCTACAGGGGATCAGCAGATGGTATCCGTATTGAACCGTCCCAGGTAAATATACATGCATGCACGCACGCACACACACACTTATATATAAACTTGTATTTATGTATACATATATTTCTTTATGTATAAGTATGTTTTAATTATGGTAATCTAAACACTTTATAGCTACATTTTTGCGTATTTTATTGAAATAAAAATGCCAATGACCAATAGCTATAATAAACTAAATGCCTTGCTTCTGATCCCTCTGTAATTCACTGCCGATAGTCGTTAATACGTGTGCTGTATCACAGGTGATAAGATCGGAGGAGCTGAGGGATGGACCGGTAACGTTTGGCTACTCGCTGTCAGGAAAGCTGGACATGGACTATAACGGCTATCCTGATCTTACTGTCGGAGCGTTCGAGTCTGACACCATCGTCACACTGCTGTACGTACTGATGGGATGTCTATAGCAATCTACTGTATAGTCACGTTGTTAGTTTATACTATACAATTATTCTATACAACGTATAGAGTCACGTTGTGTAGTCACTATGTAGTGATATATCCATACTACTGTAAGCTACCGCCACCTAGTGCCAAACAAGCTGTTAGCTAAAGTTAACTGGTTTAAGAGATCCTATCTTATGATCTTATTGTTCTCCAAGATGGCTAGGTTTGATTAGCAGTTACGATCTGTTGCTCTGATTAAAATCATCTCTATCCGCGTCAATCCGGCTTCTAGTGTTTATGTAAAGATAGACAATATATCACTTCACACGTATTCTTGTGTCATGACGGAGATATCTTACAGCGGAAATTACATTGAGAAGAATAGATGACAATACATTATAGTGAATATACTATTTTTAGTTGTACATTTACAGTATTAGGTAAAATACGAGTGACAGAACTGCAGCTGTATTTCTATATATCTGTAATAACTGCTATTTAAATTTACGCATAGAACGCATGCACGCATGCCCACACATTTTTTTTATATAAAAATGTTCTCGATTTAAGTAAAACAATTCAAATCACATGTTTACTCTGATCTCGTTAATATGTTTCCACGGTAGGGCAAGACCGGTCATTAATATTACGACGAATATAGAGATGGAACCAATCCTCATTGACCCCACCAGGAAGAATTGTCGCGACGGCACCAACCTACCGTGGTACGTTGTTTGCATTTATAATCGTAAACAAATAAGCAGAGCATTTATTCTTCCCACTGCTTCCGTCGCCCCGGCATCATTAGGAAGTCTTTAATGTATCACTCATCACCCATCACGTGTATTGCGTTTGTGGGTTCACAGTGCAGCTAGCCTTGCTCTGCCATTGACAGTTTCACGGTGCAGTCATGCTCTTGTGTTTACAGCCATGCTCTTGTGTTTGCAGCCTTGCTCTTGTGTTTGCAGCCATGCTCTTGTGTTTGCAGCCTTGCTCTTGTGTTTGCAGCCATGCTCTTGTGTTTGCAGCCATGCTCTTGTGTTTGCAGCCGTGCTCTTGTGTTTGCAGCTTCATGTGCAGCATGTTTCAAGTTCACGGCCACCGGTCGGTCGCTTCGCCCCCGTCTCCATGCACTACACGCTGCGCGCGGACATGCTCAAGGAAGGCAGCACGAAGCGCGTCCAGTTCCGCGGCGCAGGCGGCATCGACGGCAGCCTCAGCTGGAAGGTGGTGCGCAGGGTGCGCATGATGCCGCAGCACACGGGCCAGCTCGCGTGTGGGCGCAGGGAGATGGTTTACGTGGTGAGTGTGGGGGGTCGGGCGGGGGTAGGAGATCTTGTGGTCGGGGTGTAAATCGGGGGGTGGGGTGGCATGGCGAGTGGCGTGGGGGTAGAGGGGCGTGCGAGGAAGGAGAACAGTGCAGAGGCGTGGTGTGGTGAAATGTGCGTCAATGGAGAATGAAGAGACAGTTGTAAGAAGACGTGCGTATGCATGCTTACGCTGTATGCGAGTGAGAAGTCGGTGCAACGATGAAAGATGAGAGATGAGTCAAAGGCAATGTTGAGGAACAGCATGAAATATCAGTAGTAGAATACATTATAGTTATGGTTGCAACGATGGTGACGAAGATGATAACAATAATTAGCACCTCTGAGTGACTGACTCTTGTCTTTCCAGTTTGATACGAATGACATCATCACTCCAGTGAAGTTCATCTTAACGAACAACCTGACGGAGAACGTTCCGGCACCTATTCGCGCGGGAGACCCGATCCCGGACATGGACAGGTACCCGATCATCAGTGAACTCACCCAGGTGCAAGAGAAGTCAGTCAACTTCATCAACGATTGCCAGGGCAACGTCTGCTACAGCGATCTGATCGTCAAGGCGACGTGGAACGTTACCATGTAAGTTTATACTCGTGCTGAAGCGTTAATGTCTGGAAGACTGCTAACATATCTAGGGAAAGTAACTACAGGGAAACAAATTATCACAATAAATATAAATTCGTAAAAAATCAAATTCATTAATATTTCATTAATAATTTATTAACGAGTTCATTAAATACGAACATAATTCGTGATAAAATAAAAACGTATAAGTTTGTCAATACAACTGACCTGTGATGATGAGACGTTAATGTATGCATACTCTTCGTTAGGGAACCAGAGCCAACATTTGTCCTGGGAGAGGAGAAGAGTCACAACCTGACGATCACGATATCCGTGTCGAATATAGGAGAGCCAGCTTACGCCGCAGTTCTCATGGTGTCTCTGCCTTCATTCGTCGACACCTACAAACCTGAGGTGCTCGCTCTCTCGTTAACATGCAGCGTCGGCGCATTATATTATTATTGTTATATTGTTTACGCTGTAACGTTGTAATGTTAGAAATGTGTCGAACATAAAGTGTGTGCCAGTGCTGTGTTCCTCTCAAGGGAAAGCCATATTCGGTTTAAAAAAAAGAAGGTCGGTTAGGTGTGTATAGCTTGGTTAAATAGAATTACTGAGGCATTCAGGAAGTAATCCTGCATATGCACGAGTAACTAATTAGTAATTCTTGTGAGAACAAATATCCGTGGTGCTTTTAATGGTTGTTATAGCTATACTGGGTTGTCTTTATAAGATTTTACACACGTAAACACGTTATATTTAGGATGAATCGACGTAGGCATCCACTCTGCATCTCACTGTTCTATAATGATTTATCAATGTTTCAGGTACCACCAGGAGTCCAAACATCACCAGGAGAGAACTCAACCTTCATGTTTACCATTGGGAATCCCATTCCTGCGAATGAAACCGTGAGTTACTACTAGTGTCTTAAACCCTAAAATACTTACACATATCTGCCTGACCCGATAGTGATAACATTAGATGCTGAACCAAGTTTAAGCTTGGAACAGTACCATGATTATATATAAGGGTGTAAAGTTATATGTTATATGATGCAGGCATGGTGTATGCACCCAAAACCTACATTATTATACGAAGATTTTTTTATTAATGTGCAGGTTGCTGATATCAAGATCATTCTTGATACCACAAGCATACCACCCACCGAGAAAGAAATAGTTATTGACATTGTTGCCAAGACGACGAGTGAAGAACTGACCCCTGGTGACAACCAGGTGAATCTACAGGCCAGAATCATTCTGAAGGCAGAGATGGCAATAGTAGGGTGAGAGAGTCATACACTACTGAAGTGCTGTCACTGTTATAGCAAGTTATAGCAAGTTATAGCAAATTATAGCAAATTTGATGATTACGTATGTTTATGGTTGTTATCAGAGCTCTAATATATATTCTCAATGCACAGAAACATAAATGGCATAGAAGAATTCTCACTAAAACCTTTGTAGTCTATTGCAGTTGAAGAGTTCATTCTACTTTGCATATAGGTACGATCCAGCTGATCAGATTTTGTTCAGCGGTAAAGTTCGCGGTGCGTTTGCGATGAAGAAGGAAGAGGACATAGGGAGTCCTCTCCAGCACATGTACATTGTAAGTCTCATGCTTCCTGCTGTAAGTCTATCACAGCACTAAGCAAGAAGCTGCTAGTATGCATGTGGGAGAGATATGTCTAGTCATGGCCACACTAGAAGAGCATAACTATGAAAGGATTGGTGTTGATAATAATGTTCATGATAACTAACTATAGTAGATATACGCAAGCGAAATCGAAAACTTTGTTTGTTATATCAGAGATAAATCTTAGCTAATGTACTCAGTATGTCGCACTTCTTAGTTGAGTGTCATTGGTTGTTTCTTGCCTTTGTTGTCTTGGAAGTCTTTATTTAAAACATCTTTTTCATATTGTCATACAATTATGTAACAGGTATCAAATCAGGGACCTGGAAAAGTTGGAAAGTCAACAGTAACGGTGCATTGGCCATTCGAGGTTGAGAATGGACGACCACACGGAAAATATCTACTCTATATGATCACAGTACCAGAGGTATATCACTGAGCTAAATATAGTTTCGAACCAAATGTTTCCTGTGTGATATAAGTCACTATTTGGTTAATACCACTAAGCATATTCTACACAATAGAAACTATTAAAAAATCATTTGACATTATTCTTTGTCATTTGAAAGTTGGACGTCGACTACGTAATTATTATTATTTATAATTCGTCGTTAGACCGTGATATTTTGTATTATTTCATATTTTGTATGGGGTGTGTTCTTCGTTGACAGTTGCATGGACCAGGTGAGTGTTTCATAGACTCCAAGTACGTCAACCCTCTCTACGTGCGAGTAAGTGCTTCATGTTATTATCGCTAGACATGGATTTGCATGCTTAATCTACGAGTGGCGCTATGTAGTGACTCTTCTTCATTCGTGAAGTGTGGCAGTGTGCCTTTTGCATGCGGATATGTGTGCAAGTTGGCTTAGCATGCGAGCGTTGTTGAGCATGAGACTGAAATGCGCTGTAGTTGCATCAGTGTCGCCCTCTATAGGCTAGAAGAATGACTGAATGGTAAGCATGAAGCAGCTATACCAGCCCAGCCATAGTATGGCCTATTTTGCTGTGATATTTAAAGTTAAGTATCACAGCAAGATAGTCTACATAATTAAGGATATATATGTACTTATGTATGTATATATAAATACTTATTTGGATAACAGGCTGCATTAAACAGTGGGTATTAAGGCAATTTTACATGTAGACGTGTATCGCACATGCATAAAGTGTTATAGATATCAGGGAGTTGGCGACAGTATAATCAGGGAGTGCGACAGTGAAATCAGGAGTGCGGCAGTAAATCAGGAGTGCGACAGTAAATAGGGCGTGCGATCAGTAATCAGTGGAGTGCGACAAGTAAATCAAGGGAGTGCGAGCAGTACAATCAGGGAGTGTGACGGGGAAAAAGGCGACAGAAATCAGGGAGTGCGACAGTAAATCAGGGAGTGCGACAGTACATCGGAGGGAGTGCCGACCAGTAAATCAAGGGAGTGCGACGTAAATCAGGGAGTGGGGCGACAGTAAATCAGGGAGTGCGACACGTAACATCAGGGAGTGCGAGCAGTAAATGCAGCGGAGTGGCGACAGTATATATCAGGGAGTGCGAGCAGTAAAGTCAGGGAGTGCGAATAAACCGTAAATCAGGGAGTGGCGACAGTAATCAGGGGAGTGCGAGCCAGTAAATCAGGAGGGCGACAGTAATCAGGGAGTGCGGCAGTATAATCAGGGAGTGCGACAAGTAAATCAGGGATGGCGACAGTAAATCAGGGAGTGCGACAGTAAATCAGGGAGTGGCGACAGTAAATCGAGGGGAGTGGCGACAGTTAATCAGGAGTCGAAACAGTAAATCAGGGAGTGTCGACAGAAATCAGGGAGTGCGAACATGTAAATCAGGGAGCTGGCGACAAGTAAATCAGGGATGCGACGTAAATTCAGGGAATGGCGACAGTAAATTCAGGGAGTGCGACAGTAAAATCAGGGAAGTGCGAACAGTAAATCAGCGGAGTGCGACAGTAAATCAGGGAGTGCGACAGTAAATCAGGGAGTGCGACAGTAAAATACAGGGAGTGGGTGCGACAGTAAATGCAGGGAATGCGACACACACACACACGGCGCCAGTAAATCAGGGAGTGCGGACAGTAGATCAGGAGTGCGACAAGTAAATCAGGGAGTGCGAACAGTTAGATGCAGGGAAGTGCGACAGTAAATTCAGGGAGTGGCGACAGTATCAGGGAAGTGGCGACAGTAAAATGCAGGGAGTGCGCCAGTAGATCAGGAGTGGGTGCGAGCAAGTAAATGCAGGAGTGCGACAGTAGGGATCAAGGGAGGTGCGACAATGTAAAATCAGGCGAGTGCGACAGTAGATCAGGGAGTGCGACAGTAAATCAGAGGAGTGGGGCGACAGAAATCAGGAGTGCGACAGGTAATCAGGGAGTGCGACAGTAAACCAGGGAGTGCCCGAAAAAACCCAAAAAAGTTAAGAGTCAGGGTAGTGGCGACAGTAAATCCAGGGAGTGGCGACAGTAATTCAGGGAGTGGCACAGTAATCAGGGAGTGCGGACGTAAATAGGGAAGTGGCGACAGTAAATCAGGGAGTGCGACAAGTAAATCAGGGATGGACAGTAAATCAGGGAGTGCGACAGTAAGATCAGGGAGTAGACACGTAAATCAGGGAGTGCGCCCAGTAAATCAGGGAGTGGCGACAGTAAATCAGGAGTAGCGACAGTAATCAGGAGAGTGCGACAGTATATCAGGGAGTGTCCGACCAGTAAATCAGGGAGTCGACAGTAAAATCAGGGAGTGCGAAACAGTAATCAGGGAGTGCGAAACAGTAAATCAAGGGAGTGCGACAAGTAAATCAGGAGTGCGACAGTAAATCAGGGAGGCGACAGTAAATAGGGAGTGCAACAGTAAATCAGAAGTGCGACAGTAAAGTCGGGAGGCGACAGTCATCAGGGAGTATTTGACTGCGGATCCCGTTAATTCGCACTCTGTCTCACATAAATGAGAGTATATAGTAGACAAAATCTGTCCAATTGCTGACTCTTACATTCTTAGTATATAACGCCTCTACAGTAGATTTCTTCTACTCTGCATAATCAATTATTGTAATATCCTGCAATATCCATAACAGCATAACTCGACACAAGTTATCTCATCGTCTGTGATGTCAATACATTATGTTATCACGGCATGGCTTTTACTACCTGCATGGTTTGTCATTCTCATTATACATCTACACAACACTTACGATCTCTTCATGTGTTGGTCAGATAACGC